TGAACGGGAAAATCCACCGACACGCCGAGCAGGTTGCGGGGGATGTTGCAGCGACGAACACTTTAAAGGCCCTGCAATCCGGGAGTGCTGATTGTGAGGATCCCGCAGCACTTCCGTTCCTTATGAGGATCGCGCTGTTTCTCGTCTCGGAGGATGGCAGGGACGTAGATTGCGTCAGCGTCCTCTCACCCGAGCACAGCTCAGATGAGCATAGTGATGCATATATGTCTTTCTGGACACCCATTGCTTCCGATGAGGCGCTGTGTGCTTCCCAAAGACGACTTCTGCTGCGTTTCTTTGTAAAGACCGCTCCCAGGCAGCTGGTAGATCTTTCGCGCGACAGGTACAATCCACCAGCGGAGGTGACACGACGAATATTTGGAGAACTGTTGCGCGATCGGCCAGAGAACCAGGTGGACGATGCGAAGATACCACCACGATTTTTCGCCAAGGAATCTTCTGTGAAGGATTTGAGTTTACTCTTCAGGCAGGCCTTGCCGTTCGACGAGCTGCCGAAGGCGGTTCAAGGCTTTTTTAATGTACTTGCATCGGATCTCGCTAGGAGTGTGGCATGCCACTGTCTGACGGAATGCCTGCACTCGGCACCGTTCGAGGCATTGCGTTCTCTCGTTCAGGGTGAGGCGACAAATACCAGGGCGGCACCTTCCCTCACCGGCTTTGAATATGACAATAAAAATGAGGGCAAAAACAGCAACGATGATGATGATGATGATGATTTGGACCGAGAAGAAGGTTATTTGCGTGAGTTGGCACAAGAATCGCAGGAGGTTCTGAATGCCGTCCCAAAAATTTCCGGCCTTGCGGAACTGTTGGCTTTCGCCGTGTCACCTGCCCTACTTAGTGCTCCCTGCTTTGAGGCTGATTCATTTACCGTGGAGTTTACGCAGCAGTTCTCGAGTAGTTGTGCTGTTAGTCCTGCGTTGGCTCTTTCGCATGTCTTCCAGCGTTGCCTGGCGGATGATTTAGTCTGTGTTTTTCAAGCCGCTGCCTCCGGTTTTCTTTTTGTGCCGAATAAGAAACACTTTGCGCTACGGTGGATTTTTATTTGCGTGACGGCCGACGCACGTGACGATGCTCAACGGGTGTGTCTTTTGTTTAGCGAGCACGAGGGAGACTTTGGTGTGTGCCGACAACTCTGCGAAAATCTTCGTCGACTGATCGAGGCGAAAATAAGGGAGGTCTGTCAGTTGCACCTTTTAAAGCAGTTGCGGGATACTCAGAACGCTCAGAATGAATGGATGCCGCGCAACTGGGGAGACCAATTCTCTTCTCCACCATCCATTGCCAGTGGAAATCAAGAATCCACAGTGTCACTACCAGCTGCATTTTACTGTCGGGGATCGACTGTTCTGAAGCTGCCCATCTACTATAAATTGCAGCATCAGTGCAAGAAGATACTTTCACGCATTACGAGTAATTGCTCCAGGCTCGAGCTCATCAATATTTACAACCGGGAGCAATGCTTTGTGGTGGCGGATGACGTTCAGACGGACGTGTTTCACTTCATCCGCCTCGTATTTGTGAGGGACACTGCGCATCTACCCTCATTAACAGTCCCATCACCTTCACTTTCCCCCGCCACCCGCTGCCCTCTGATGGTGGTACAGTTGTTTGGCTCCACCAAAAATGCGCTCGTGAAGCGTCCTCTCCGCAAGCTGCAGGATTATTGCTTTTTTTTGGCGATACAAGAACTCCAGGGACACCTGAACTATGTGCAGCACAAACTGATATCCAGAGTGGACCTTATTTTTCTGCAGTGTCGCCGTCGTGATCCTGTCATTGTGGACCTGGTGCAATTTGTGGGGGGTGAGCCAGTGCAGCCGTTGGATGTCCGGCTCGCTTTTGCCTTGGTCGCTTTGGGTCTCAAGGAGAACAAGTTCAAGTCGTTTCACGTTCAGGATGGTGGAAGCGCTGCCATGAGCAACTTTGCGGAATATTATGGGCTTCTGGAGGAAGAGGGAGGCGACGGGGGAGGAACCGGTGGAAGCAGTCCGCGTGTCTCTTCTCCCCGGGAGATGGAGACGCATGGAACAGAAATAACACCACTCCTGCCAACGACAATTATACGCTTTGTGAAGGTGATGGAAGGTGCGACAGACATGCTTGTCTCTTGCAATCTTCGTGTGACCGACGGATCGCAGCTTGTGGTCGAACGCTTTCTAACAAAAATGCCGGAAGAACGGTATACGCCAGGTGGATCCGAGACGAAATATCTCGGGCAGATTGAAGACGTTGTGAGAGATGCGGTGCTGCAGTGGCGGTTTTTTGCCTTCTCGAAGCGTTTTTATGTCCTGCCTTCTTGCCAGTTTTTTTCTGCTGTGGAGGAGTTGATGGCATATGGCGCGGGCGTGACATCGACGGAATCATCCACGCTTCGCTTTAGAAA